TATACTGGTCAAATAGGGCCCACTGAAACCAGGGCAAAAGTAAAATATGTTACAGAACAAAAATGGTCAAGTTTTTTTTTTTTAAAGATGAGTTTAAATAAAATATCCTGTGTTGCTTTAAGTGATACATTATACAAACTGTTTGAGAGAATAATTCACTGCTCTTGCTCATTTCATTCAACACTTTCACCATTCTTTATTTGGACAGTGACAGAGATGAGCCTCTATGCTGTGAAAAAAGTATGCTGACCTATAAGAATTTAATATTTAAGCAGCCTGTCAATATGGATTCAGTAGCAGCTGGATGATGGAGTATGAGGGTCAGGAGTTCAGGGTCAATCCACAAAATGTTCCTTCCAAAAGCTCTTGATAATATCATTGATTGATTGTGTGCATGTGTCTGTGAGAAAAATCTCTCTTTCTCTCTCCTTATTTCTCATATTGTTGTCTTTGTGCTGTTTGTTTGCATCACAATATAAATTGAATTAAGTGTTTTGCATAGAAAAATCTAAGATAAAAAGTATAACATGACTATATATATATATTGTTTCCTATCAACAATCTATATAGGTTGGGTGGAGTCTGGATTCAGATGTGTTGTGTGCTTGGACTTGATGCCGAACAATTCTACAAAAACCTACAATTAGATGGTTTGAAGTCAGCATCCTAAATTGTCTAAAGCAGTGTGAAGTGATGTTTGTTTCTCCATGCCTGTCATTTGTCTCACCTTTATTTGTTTCCCTGCTTCTCAGAACCCTCCACCCTCGCTCCTCTGTTGCAGGATGGGTAGAAACTGAAACACCCAGGAGCCTGAACAGAATATGAAAATAACTAGAGGAGATTAGATTTGGAACTGCTAAACAGACTAAATTGGCGTGAAGTATTCTCCTCTGTAGAAACACTGTTGTAAATCAGCTGTCAAGTTGCAGACATACTCTCACTAATAAGCACACTTATTTACTTTTTTGTGTTATTTTGGCATGCTTTTTTGCTCCTCCTAATGACCTCTGGCTACCCTGTCAGGATGTTTATACACACATGCATGTGGCTATCCACACATAGAAATATTCCATCAGATAGCCCTGTTTATTTAAGCCAGTTTTCATGGCTACAATAACAGTGGATAGCCATTGGATTAACTAGTTGCCTACTGGCTTGAAGAGAGGCCATGGAACCATAGCCTGTAGTTCTCTGTCTGCTTTGTGCGTGCTCAACAGGACATTGCTCTTTGTTGAGGACAAGTCTAGGGAAAATCTATTCACAGAGCAATGGATGAGATGAGGAGAGGAGAAGAGGGAAGGTGGGATTGGAAATGACTGGAATATTGAGGAGAGGTAGATGGATATGAGGTGATAAAAGAGGAAAGACTAAGGCAGATTAGGAAAGGGTTGGATGGACAGAGGGAGGAGGGAAACAGAATAGAAGACAGGAAGAGCAGAAGAGCATTAGACGAGCAGAGGGTGACATGAGAGGAGAAACTGATGCATATGTGCACCAGCAGCTCACAAACAATCCACACAAACCCCCTCTAGACTCATACATTCATACAAAATTACACAGTGGTATACAGAACTGTAAAAGATCCACACGTGTATGTGTGTGTTTTTTTTTTTTTTTTTTTTTGTGCGATTTTGTGCGTCTTCCTCTAGGAAGTGCTGAGCTTGTGAACAGGAACTACAGTACCTTTCTTTTAGCAAGCTGAAAGCCCTGCAGGTGCACACACACAAACGCACGTATGCACAACTACATGCTGACAAAAACCACAGCCTTAGATTCTCTGTTTATCATTCAACACTCTGGTAGAGGCATTCATTAAAGTTTCTGTTTATAAAAAAGAAATAAAAGACAGTGAGGTTGCTCAGCAGTATGCTTGCAGTTGTAAATAATTTTGTGCTGACTTTTTTTTTTTCAACTTCTGATGCTGACAAAGGAAAGGACAGATGCTAAGTCACTGTTGGATTATTTTAAGCATCTCCTAAATGTCTCTGTTATTTACTATAGATGCTTCCTAGTTGCCATTTCACCTCTGTGAAATAATAAACATTTCTAATGTACAGATTCCTGCTTCAACACAACGCATTAACGTTAACACATGCTTTTAAAGGTAATCACATGTTAACTTAGATTTTTGTTTCTGGCGTTTGTGGAAGTGAACCTATTATTATTATTAACCTGTTATCAAATCTGATCTAAGGCTCTGTTAATGCTGTTGTCAGCTCAGGTCCTGGTTTGGCTGACCTGAAAGTTCTGCCATGAAATGGAGTGATGCTCCTTTAAGTTTTGTCCCAAGCAGGAACACACTTCACAGATACTGCCTGAATGAAGGACAGTTGACATGGTGTTTTCTCAGGTACATTCTCTTTCTCTGCTTCCTCT